CGATGGCACTTTGCATTCAGAGTGCCTCTCATTCGCCTGCAGTCTTTCACAGACGTTTCTTCCATTGTAATTCTTACCACTGCCTCTTATCATGAGTTCCATTGTACTGCGATGTGTTGTATTGTCTTGGCAAAGGGCTTCAATCAATATCTATGGGTTCTCTTGAAGTGAATAAAATTCTCAACCCTTTGCTTGTTAAATTATTGTAACTCCCACCAGATAAGAGATTCAGTGAGTCAGCTGCCTTGAATGCAAAAGCATTGTCTCTGAAAGGCATTATCCAACTTTTTAAGAGTTTGTTAAATTGGTTATCTTTTAAAATACATTTCATTCAGCACCTCTGCACTCCAAAAAAAAAAAAAGGGGGGGGGTTGTTTTTTATCTGCAGTAGTTTAAATTTGGTTGCTCTGATGGCATGGAGAGCACTGAGAAACACTGAGAGAGACCAGTGCAGAATGTAGCAAACATCAGTAACCGCTCGTATACTGACTAACTCAGAAACAGCACGAAAAGGAGGGAGAGGGGTGGAGATGGGGTCCAAAGTGGCTTGCATGTGCGCACCAACTATAATTAGCTCATATAATGGTCCTTATGTCCCATTTTGCCAGCTGGATGTGTTGAAAAGCATCTACTGACCCAATGGGTGATGTGGGCTGGCATCACCCAATGGGTCAGATTTTTGCAACTGACCATGTTCTATATACATTTGTGGGAGCGCCTTAAATACAGAAAGAGAATATTTAAATCAGACACGCAAATCAATTTACCAATATTTGCAACATGGAGCTTATGGCTAAGTGCATCTATATTTAACACCAAAAACAAGCACGTTTATTGTACTTGATGTTGAAATGAACTGACTGTGTTTTCTAAATGTTGACTATAGTATATATTTGGGTCTCGTAAACAGTGTTGGTCAAGTTACTTGAAAAAAGTAATCAGTAACTAATTACTGATTACTTCCCCCAAAAAGTAATCCCGTTACTTTACTGATTACTTATTTTCAAAAGTAATTAGTTACTTAGTTACTTTTTAAAAACACGATTTACAACCTGAATAGGTGATAAAGCGATAGATCTTTCAGCCCAATTCTACTTTTTCTGCATAATCCATCATACAAAATGTAATCAAATGGAAAAGTCTCTTTTTAAAACTTGTTTCATCAGTTTTAATCTTTCAACTTTATGCATCAAGCAAAAATGTAATTATATGCAACATTCTCTGACTGGAAGAAATTTGTTTAATATTTAAACCTATTTTCTGCACATTCCAGCACATAAAATAGTTTTTTTTGTGTGTTTACACTCACTCTTTCAAATAGATGCAAGTAAAACACAGCAGAAAATAAATAAAGTCAAAGACTAGCGGTCCTTTTGCTCTATTGTCACCTGTAAAGCAGGAGTAGGGTAGGCGAAGGTTTACCCTGGTGCAGGTGTGCCGCAGCGGTCAGTGGAAGGATACGGCAGTTTCTCTGTGAGTTTCCCATTACCTCGTAGCGCACTCGGAGCTTGCTTGGAAGTTTATGGGCGTTTTTTCGCTGTAAAAAGAACTTTTCTTCCCACGCACAACGGACACTAATGTTTTTGTTACTTTTTATGGAATCAAACTCAAAGTAAGGTCAGTACTTCCACGATTTAAACGTTGCATGCTCATACTCTCTCCCGCACTCGATATATGATCCACTGTTGATCTGCACACAGCTGTTGTCACAAACGTTGCACTTGCTTACGTCACTGTCATGAGACATTCTTGCAAAAAAATCACGGTTTTAGTAACGCAGTAAAGCAGCGTTCCCACGGGAAAGTAACGGTAATCTAATTACCGTTTTTGCAATAGTAATCCCTTACTTTACTCGTTACTTGAAAAAAGTAATCGGATTACAGTAACGCATTACAAGTAACGCGTTACTGCCCATCTCTGCTCGTAAATATGCAATATAGAATCATTTTACTCAACAAATGAACTCTAATGAGTTCAGAAAACCTTTTCCGTCTGTGTGCGCCGTGTTAACCTTACATCTTGAACATAATGAAAACTGGGTTAAGCTTCCTGACTGGGATCTCTGTGTCCGACTGAGATGCCGAAACATTCCAGCTCTTTCTTTGTGTCTCTAAAAATACATTCCAGCCTCATCTCTGTCTATATTTAGCCACTATCACTTTTACTATCCACATTTGTAGTCCATGATTTATGCATGGTTTAGCACAATGTTGAGTCAGTGCAGGTTTAAGAGGATTATGCCTTTATCTAAAAATCTTGATTTAGCACTGACCATAAATTAGTGAGTGTTTACGATGAAGAAAACAGAGAATGAGTGAGCAGAGACAGAGCCTGAGCGCGCTCATTGTAAAACATTCACCGTCTTTCTGCCTGTCTCTCTCCGTGGTCCTGAATCCCATCTGTTGCCCAATACAGAATGCTAAAACGCCTAGTCTTTCTCTCTTGCTCGCCATCTATCCATTAAAGCAAACGGACCAGAGACGGTTTCACCCCCGTACCTTGAGGAAGGAGAGGTTGCGGTTTCGATCAATGCTGGTAATCTCCAGATTCCCCATGACAACTTCGCAGTTCTCGTAGAGCTTCTTCAGGGTGCGGTACTGCTGGTCCAGGTCTGAGAGTGTGCTCAATTTGTTCTCTGTACCAGGACAAACTACACACAAAAACAGAAGAAGAAGAAAAAAAGGGTCACGTTTGAGACAATTTGTCTTACAGAGCATATTAACTATGCTGACAGATTCAAAAAGGGAGAAACGCAAACAGTTAATGATTTTCAGCCATTCATGACCACAGTAGTCATTATGCTTAAAGGCCAGCAGGCTAGCTAACTTGATTACATACATACAAAACACTTAAAGGTTAGCACAACCAGTTAACCTAGACAACTTAAACAGCTTTTTCTTTTTTTCCCCTCTTGTAAAACTGATGGAAAAACCCATATATCTGATCTCACTCTATTCTATAACTACAGCCACGGCTGCACATGGTGGAATTTGTAACTAAAGCACTTGTCTGCTGATGAATCACTTCACTGGCGTGTGCTCCGAATGCGTTAGAATGAAATCAAGACAAAGAAACATCCAGGAGCGGAGATCTGAGGACTAAAACCGTGTGAATACGAGAGCTCGACACAGTGAAAGAAAGTGAATGAGGGAGGGCTGAAGGACAGAGGGAACAGTGGGAGGGAATCGAGGATTGAGGGATTACATAAATTGCTGAAAGGGGAGTGCAGCAGACGTGACCCTCGACAATGAGGGAGACGCGAGAGTGAAGACTTGGGGAGGGACAAGTGGGGTTAGAGGGGTGAATATCATTTCTCTGAGGCACTGACCTACAGTCTAGGTCTGGCACCGGCACACCGTTTAATCAAAGATATTCAAATTGCATTGGTTGACCTTTACAGAGGGTTTCACTTGGAGACTTTACTTGGCTGGCGAGATTACAAGACTTTGAAGATATTATGGGGAGTAGACACGATTCTGTTGGGTGTGTGGGAACCCCGGGCAATTAGATAAGGGTAGGCTTTTCTCGCAGTTTTAGCTGCGTGCCCAAAAACAACCATTTTTGTTCCCTACCTTACTGCAAACTCTATACTGTAGAAAGGCATGAAAAGCAAGGGAACTTTCTAAGAGTCAAGAGCAACACCATAACGCCACAAAACCAGCCACACATTTATTCATCAAAAGAAATAAAGAGAAAAAAGGAAAATAATACAAAAAAGTAAATAAAGTTAATTAAAAGATTCTAGAAATATAGCAAAAGTAATAGAAATAGACATTAAATACAGAAAAAGTGCAACTCTTTAAACTTTTTGCAACACACAGTGAGGACAGACAATGCAAAAAAGCAACTACACGAGGAAATTAAAACATCAGAAAATACACAAGAGACAAGACAAATAGACTACAATGATTTTATAAATGAATTATTACCTACATTCATTTTTAAAGCTATTTTGTGTTTGAATATTAATTTTTTATGACTCATTTATTTTAAATCTTGACAGTTTTGGTCCCCCATATTCAACTCTTGTGCTAAAATAAGTAATGTAACTGGCCGTCTGCAGAGCTCATGATAAATGCAACACAATCAACTAATGCAGTGGCTACCACTGTAATTAGTTCCTCATATTTGCGCCCATCAAGCCCTCTTTCCGTCGCTGCCAGCATTTCCACCAGTCACTCAAGCTCCCCAGCCTCAGTCCTGCGACCATCTGCTCCATTCAGCTGGCACGATCGCCATGTTACCACAGGCGCGACCAGAGGTTTGTGTGTCGGTGTGTATGCGTGCGGCGTGGCACCAGGATGGAGGATGGATTTGGCTCAATGTAATTAAACTGCTCATTAAAGTTTGTCAGCAGTTCCACTTCGAATAGGTCTTACTTTAAAACAGAATAATCACTTTTTTTTAGATATAGCACCGACTGTTTAGGTGAGCAGAAGTGAAGGAAATAGAGATTGAATGAGCCTATTGTGTCTTATGTAGAGCAAACATTAAAATTTCCCATGGACAAAGGCAAACTAGAGTGGTGAACATCATGGTAAAGGAAATGTTTCCCATGCCTTAATTCACTCACACCAGATCATATACGTATTGAAAGTAAATATATGGTTTACTATTAACTTATTATGTATTATATATCCAATTAACGATGATATTTTTCATCAAACAATGAAACATGATGTCCTTAAAATTTCCTGTTTTGGGATCTTGGATAAGGAAAAGGCTAAAATACACTTAACCTTAGGTAAATAGCACTCCCTGATGGCAGTGGGCTCCCTCAGCAGGACAGCATGCCCTGCCAACAACAGAATAGCTTGAGGAAGTTGAGAAAAAGTCCAAGGCCTTAAATCTCTGGCTGTCTTCCACAGAGTTTCTTTTGTCCCCCCCAACCTCATCACCCCCAATTGGTTGCAGCAGATGACTGCCCCTCCCTAAGCCTGCCGGAGGTTTCTTTCTGTTAAAATGGAGTTTTTCCTTCCCACTGTCACCAAAAACTTGGCCATTGGGGGTTGTCTGACGTTTGGATTTCTTTCTTTTACCCTAGGATCATTGTAATATAAAGGGACTTAAGGGAACTGTTGTTGTGACACTCAATCTGTCCAAGCATCGATGGGATGAAGCAGAACAAGCCCAAATGCTAAATTCAAACAACCCATAGGAACCAATGGATCGAAAGTATCCCAGAAAACACCCTACATCCATGCCCCATTGGCATGATTGGGACCTAAACAACAATAATCAGGCGGTTTCAACTTTGTAGCTGACTGCTCCGTAAAAGAAAGTCTAAAGTCTGGTCGTTACCAGGTCTTAAAATTTGGAAAATCCAACCCTCTAAGAATACTGCTAATGTCTTTTTTCCCTCAGCGTTGTGCCAACACACATCTGAATGCTTCAGAACAGCAAGCCAGAAGTTTTGTTTTTATAGAGGTGCTCATAAGGTTTGTCTTCCATCATGCCTTCTATTAGTTTTACTTCCTCCTTTGTGACTGTCCTGATTGTTTCCCCCTGTTTCTCATTCACAGTCAGCCCTCAGTGCATGAACACTCGTCCTCCCCTCTATCTTTGTCAGGGTGTCTGTGTATACTCCCTCATGTTCCTGTCTGGGTTATTTCTTTTGGCTTCCTACTTACTCCCAGCTCCTCATGGTTTTGCTTCTTTTTAAAAAATGTTATGTCTTAATCTACAACCAATTCCAACCTAAAGCTATATGAAGCTCAAAAGAATGTAAGTTAAACTTTTAATGCCATGACTGCTGTCCTTCAGTATCACCCACTTGCGTTTCTCCTCCTGCTTGCATATTTTTTAAAGCCAAAGTTCACATTTTCACACTCAATAGCGAGAAATTCAGGAAAAGAGAACAAAAAAAAGAAAAGAAAAAAGGACAAAGGGCTATTGCATAGTTGAACTTGGCCTCATATTGAACAACATTGAGAGCTCATAAACTCCTATATTGCTTTATGGATCGTTGGCTCTGCAAAGATGAGCGCACTTCCTCGCCTCTGTGATCCACCATATTGCTGTGGGTACAGGATGCATGGGCCGAATGGCAGTGAGGGGACCTGAACTATGGTGATAAATGAGATTTGCTGACCACACACACACACACACACACACACACACACACACACAGATTAGATATTAGATGAAATGATTTAAGAGTGGCTACAAACTCAAAGGAAGTCTGTGCGAGGCTCTAAAATTGGTTTGATCGATAAATGCGTGTGTGTGTGTGTGTTTGTGTGTGTCCGTGTGAGTGAGAGGATATATTTTTTTCTGTGTGTAGAGATGAAAGGTTAGCGAGGCTTCTGTAATAATCTGTTATTGAAACCTAGTTGCAAGTGTGTGTGTGTGTGTGAGAGAGAGTTTGTGTGGTGATAAAAGATCAGAGGGGAGAGGTGAAAAGTGAGGCGAAAACAACTCTCAAAAGCCAATATCAGCCAGCCGCACACACACACACACACACACACACACATAAGAGAGAAACAGCATTCATTCAGAGTGAGTAAGCAAGGTAAAACCAAGCAAAGGAACAAAATCGAAAGAAAGAGAGACACAATCTTTTATTTGTGAGAACGAGAATGACGTCCCCGAGCATTAACATTCACACCGACGCGCTCTACTGTAAATGCTCTCTTCTCTGGGCTGGTTTCAAAAGTGTCCGAATCCATCTGCTCTACATCTCTCTCTCTTTCTCAATTCTTAATTTCTTTTTCTCTGTCCCTTAGCCATCCATTCCTTTGTTTCTGTCCTCTCTATTGTTCTGTCTCTCTCCCACAACCATCGGTGGGAGTTGTAAGTATTGAGCTGCAGCTCTTTTCCCCGTTAAACCATCAGGTGACACGAGGCCGTGTCCACTTGACGGCTCAGGTGTGTGCGTTTGTATCTCGGTGTGTCTGGGAGCTGATATATGCCAGGCAGGACAATGGGTTGAATATACAACGGTGTTTTTTGCAGAAACACAGGCCAGGCAGAGGGGTGCATTACATAAACTACTTTACATTTACAACACAGAGAAACAGCTCAGCTTATTCAAACGGAAACTCAAAACATGGAATAGAACCTTTAAATGCCAGTGCACTTCTTTCAGTGTACTGTGCCTCTTACTCTATGGCTGAACCCCAGTGACCCTGAAATGGACTAAGGGAAGAAGTTTGATGGATCGAGGATCATGCAGTTTTTCTTGCACAGGTAGCAACTAGAAATTGCATAAACTGAGATGATTAAATGGATTAAGGTTAGCTAAATCTCACGGCCACAGTTAAAAAGACAGAAAACAGTCTGTCAACAGCAGGCTCTCATGTCAAAGTCACATGCTTTGTTGACCAAACCATCAACTCCTCCTCACGAGGCCTGGCAGAGCTACAGTAGCGTCACACTGCTTTGCTCCTTACAGACAGAGCCATTATTCATCCGGCCACGCCAGCTCCTTGTCAGGCAAAAGGTAAACATAGGTGGTTTGGTGCACTTAAACAAAGGACCGGCACATTTATCAGCAGCAAGAGTGAAGAAAGGAAAAAAAATGGGCAGAAGCCACAAGAAAGAAAAGAGGAAACAAAAACAGACAGGACGGTGAATGAAACAGAGAAATGAGACTACACGTTGAACAGGTGCAGAAATGAGACAAACAGTAAAAAGAAAAGAGAGAGCGAG